TCTTTTTTTTTAATCGAATGCATTATATATTATTAGCTTAAATCGTGGACCTTTTTTTACCTAATTTCAAACACATTTAGTTTATTGACGATTTATTAATGCATTTTTGAGTTATTTCACTTTAAAAATAATTATCATTCGATTTCTGGACACTAGCCATATTGTTTAAAAATGGTCAAGTCTGAGTTGCTGGCAACCATACTATCTATGTTTGCAATTGTTTTAACAATGTTCTACTTTTGACAACTAACCAAAGCTAAAGATTTCCAGCGTTAGTGAAATTACTTGAGATATTTCAAATGGGTTATATTGATGAAGAAAAACGCCAAATAATAAAATTGTATTATTCAAAAATAAAAAATATCAATATTTAATGCTAAACATTTTCCACATAACCTCAATTTCCTATTAATACGCAAGATGATAAAATCAGGGTTTTCTCTGTTTAGATCTTGTAAAACGATATTAAGTCTTTCTCTTATCACTTGTAAACTTTCAGGCCCATTATAAAAAAAATATTTTTTAAGTATCCTCACAAAAAATGTCCTTGCCTACCTCTCCAAATGATATATTTATTATTTAGATAATCGATAACCGGTTGGACATTATGTGGAGGTGCGCCATCTTGATGCCAAATTAAATTTAAATAATTCCTAACTGGCACAATTATCTAAAAACTGTTCTATTCCTGTTGGAAGAAAATTTAAATATCGTTGGCCATTCAAGGATCCTTCGTATATAACTGGTCCGACCACCATATCGTTCAACATACCATTTTTGCAAAGTTATGTCCGTTTGAATAATATAATTTTATTATTTGGCGTTTTCCTTACTCAGCATTTGAAATATCTTAAGTTATTTACTTGCGATAGTTGTTTGTTTTTCCTGACATTTACGACAATAGAGCAAAAATCTTCAAACTTTTGTGTTTACCCTTCAAAATTAACTAACCAAAACTAACCAAAACACGAATATATTCACTAACATGACTGTCAGAATTGACAAACGTCAAAATTCAAAGCGTGGGAAATATCTCCGAAAACAGCCGATTGCTCCCAAACCCGTGCGTTAAAATCCCGGAAATGTCCGCTCGGATTCGTGGGAAACGAAACTGACGTGTAAAGCGACGCTTCCCGCACGCTAGATCGGTGGGTAATTAGGCATTTTCCAGACGAGAGTAGAAAAAATATAATGAATAGGAGCATTTAAAAAAAGAGCCTAAAGGCCACTTTGCAAGAAAATAAGTGTCATAACTCTGAAATTTTTTGTGGAAAGTACCTCCAATTTCATGCGTATGGAATTGTCCGACCCGTCGCCCCAAAAACAACGGCCCGTATTTCGAAAGGGAGAATGGGAGGGGGGAGAGGGAATGTAAAATTTTCAATAGCCAGACAAAACCGTTACAAAAGGCATTCTCCGACTTGCGGCGGCGACAAAAAGGCCGCTTGACGAGGGCCACCCGACCTTATAAAGTATTCACGTTAACGACAAGAATTCGGAGGGGCAAGAAGTTGCCGTCGCATTTTCGGGAGCTTCTAATTTTGTGCGCCGAAAATCCGCGAGAGCCGAGCGGTCGCCGAGAATATAAATTTCCGGGAACCGGAAAAATTCATAGTCGAAACGTTTCGGCTGCGGAATTCGCGATATTTCGACGGTTTTCTTCCTTCAAAGGGCGCCGAAAACCGCACACGTTTGACTGAAATTTTTGACTTTACTATTTTTTTTCTAGAAACTATTCATCTGACCGAAAAAATCGCTATTTGGAAAAAAATTAATCGTGCTTTAGTATCAGTTTATCAAAAGTGTTGATCTTTTATACGGTTAAACAAATCATGGGTGGGGTAAATAGGTAGTGCGTAGCGCGAAGCATCTTTTTATTTTAAAAACGAAGGGCTTCTCGATTTCTTGCGGAAAAGGGAAGCATTGCTTTTCTATCGTGCTCCCGCTGACCATTTATTTTAATTTATATTATTAAATTTTTCATATTATTAAATTTATATTTCATTTTTATTTTTTAGGACGTTTTTAATATTTTTGCCCATAAACGACACACCCTGTATATGATTCACACAATGTTCGAAATAGAGGTTTATAGCCATTGATCTCCCACGTTTCCTGGTATATGATTTTTTTTAATGGAGTAAGTGGTTTTCGAGAAACATTCCACGAGAAACAATAGCGAAGTTGAATAGATCTTTGCCCGTTATTAAAAAATAAGTGTTTTTAGTAAGCAGATATTTTACTATGCTAAACCTAAAAAGCGGAAATAAATTTCAATCAATTTAAACTCGTATTAAAGCATATTTTTTTATCAGATCAGTAGTTTCTAAAAAAATGAAATTGAAGTCACAACTTCACAATGTTCCGATTTCTATGCACGCAAGTTTATATGGCTCATATGAAATATAGTTTTACTCACGTCATCATTCTCATCACGAAAGACGTCATCGAATTTTCAAAAATCAAAAGTCAGTTAAAATGAAATAACCCTGAATTAAAACAACTTTGAAAAGTTCCGAAAGCAATATTAATTATTATTATTATTAGTTTTTGAAAGCGTCAATAAAATTACAGAAAACAAACGTAATTATGCAAAGAATAAAGAAAATGTTTTGAGGTAGCGTAAGACAAGCAAGGATTTAAAGTAAAAAGCTTAAAGCATTCGTTTGATTCTACGTTTATGACATCAAAAATAATGGACAAAGGTATAAACAACTTCGAAAACTTCAAGAGAGGCTTTAATACCCCAGACGTTTGACTGAAAGGCTTCGGAAAATGATTTAAAAAAAATCCTCATACGAGCACAAAAACTTCTTGTGTATTACGTTTTAACAATGGAATTTAAAAAAAAAAACCAAACTCGCTTAAAATGATAGAACAGATAGAAAACTAGTCTTAAGAAGTGTTAATGAAATAACAGGAATCATACAAAGAATAAATAAAAGTAAAAAACTAATTTTAGAAGAACGTTTGTTCCAACGCAGTCGTCAGAAAAAACTTGCACAACATTGCTGCCATATAATCAGCGCTGATATATTTAGAGGTAAATCTTCCGTATATTGTTCTATTTGGTGCACTGAGAGTTGCAAATATTGATGTCCGGTTAACTTTTGATCTATAAATATCGGACCCAAAATATGCCCGTCTATGACACCATACCATACATTAACTGATTGGTACTCATGGGGTTTTATTTCGTGTATTTGTCTAGGATTATCTAAAGAGCAATATCGCGTATTTTGTCTATTACTTTCTTGTAGTGCAGTCCATAAAATGTTTTTCAGAAAATTATTATTCTCATTATGTCTACTTAAAAAATCGAAACAAAATTGCATCCCCCTTCAACATTGTTCTGCACTTAGTTTTTTTGAGTTTTACGAAATTTAACTGAATTAAATTTATATTCTTTCAAAACTGAGTGGATTGATCCCTGCCTCTTCATATACTTATGTAATAGAGGAAACTGGATGCGCTTCATAGAATCCTAATATGTATACTTAACGCATATCACTCGTTTCACGGATAATGACTTGGACAATAATTCAACCATCAACGTTGTTCGTTGTCAAACATAAAGATATATTTATTTGTCACTCAGGGCACTCCTATTTTTACCTATTCGTCAAAAACGAGTGGACTAAAATGTAATGTAGAAAATGGAATGGAAAATGGATAGTGTTTTGTTTTATACATCACTTGCAAGAAAACTTGGCTATTCACCCTACATTTTGTATTTCTGTTTAGCTTGATATGTCTGAAAACAAAAATGTTACAGCCAATTAAAATACATGCATCTCGTATATAAGATGAACAATATTACCTTTCATTATCGCTTTCCAATGTCTTCGTCTGATGTTTCCCAACAGGAAATGTTTAACTGGTTTAACTGCAATACTGAATAGTATTTTTTTCAAACGACTTTTCGTGCTAATAATAACATATTTTTAACATGCTTTTTTTTAATTTAACTGTCTTAATGTTAGTGTTAAAGATTTGTTTGTTTTTAAAGTACACAAACTTATCTAATATTCCAGCTACGAATATCTACGGTTTTCTTTAATAAATTTTTATTCTAATTGAATGAATTGAACGTAAATATCCAAAAACGATACGCATATCATGGTACGCTCGGTGGCGAATTTAATAACGTCGAAAACAGGAAATAAAGTATCGCTTAAATTACTGTCCGCACCCCTATACACGCCAGCGCTGCGTGTATACGTTTTATTATCTGTCAGATGTCAAGCGACGGACCGCGAGATGCGATATCATATCACGGAACTGTCAGGGGAGTCCGATTTGAATGTAACACGAAGCAACTGCGGTAAATATATGTATACATCGAGGAAATGGACATTACAAACACCAAAAACATACTACTACTGAACAATACTTCGAATTTTACTCATAATAAGAACAAAAGTCGCCATCTTTCGAATAAAAGATAAAACAAATTAAAAAGATACAGCGTCATTCTTCATTCAAATTTAGATTTTGTTGTTTCAAGTATTTATATGAAAACTTTGTACTACGGGTTAAAAATGGATATAGCTTAGAAGACCATTCTGTAAATTGTTTTTTTTTGGGACTTCCCAGTCAGCTTCCAATTTTTGTTTCTTTTTATATATTATTGTATTGTATATTATCATTAATAAAATTAAATTGCATTAATTCAATTTTAAATATTGCTAGTTCGAGTATAATTATCTTTATTCGAGGTTTTTAAGAGGAACAATACTCTTATAATTCGCGATAACATAGTCACTTTAATTATCGGTTATTAATATTGGCAAAGGACGAGAATATTTTTATTTTAAGTTGTTGGTTAGATTAGTATACCTTATTATTATTATTTTTGGTTGAAAATAACCTTTCGCAAGGGGTAATTTTAAAGGATTTGTTCGAAACCCTTAGTTTTTGGGGCTATTCTGATGTCAGACGTTTCCTTAAACGACCGATACGTGGCGTATTGAATTCAGTACGTGTTCGACCATACTTACGGTACTTTAACTCCGTTCTCTCGTCTTTGGGACGTGCACCATGCCAAAATCGAACTATATAGGACGCGTCCGGCGTGTTATCGGCAACCCTGACGTTCCACGCGAGCCGCGTCGACCGAAACTGGAAAGGCAGACGCGCAGTTTCCTGAGGGATGCTGAAAACGGCCCGCCGGAGCCTGTGGTGGGGGTACAACGATATCGCCGACGTCACACGATAAAGTGTGGGAGGTCAGGGAAAGAGAGGATTATATTATTAAGCCGGGCTACACTTTTAAGCAGGGGGAATGGGGGATTCGTCCAAAAAACGACGAAAAAAGAAAGCTTCCAATGGCAATTAAATTACCTGAGACGATCATTGAAATAAAACGTAAAATAATCAATATTTGATTTATTTTGTGGGTAATTAACCGAGCGTCCAGATCGATAGAAGGTTCAATAACATTCAAACCAAATACATCAAGAACCTGGCTAACCCTCTAGCTCCCTAACACGCTCTCCCCGAAAAATTTAGAAAGAATGTTAACACTCCGACATTTTTTCCTCTCTTAAAAAAAATATTATTAAAACCAATTTAAGTAAAATAATTTTGAACCCAATTTCTATGCGTTAGGTTAAAAAATTGCAAAAGCAAAAAAATTTACTGTCCAACACAAAACCTGATGAAACATACAAACATACATTTCAAACACATATGGCCAATACCATGTTAAATTATTAATGTTTTTCAAATAGGTTTGACAAGAAGTAGATTTGGAAATACCGCCCATACATCTGAACCACGAACTCCTTTGTCAGAATCAGTCGATCATCCCCACAAAATTATACCTAATTCTACTCACAACATGAGCGTAATAATGTTATAAAAGATATTTTTAGTGAATTAGGGTATAAGTTATTATCTTTAAACCAACGTGACTCGAAACTAAGTTACATTTGTCTTTCAGACATAAATCACACCTAACCATCAGCAGCAAACTTTTTATATAGTGGGTTCCCGAAGTCGTCTGAGCAACGCAAGCTCTCTAAATATACAAGAAGAAAAGTACTGGTCTTAATACAGAGCCCTGAGGAACGCCCATTGTTAGCATGGATGACTTCGACTTTTTTTCAGTGCATACACTTAAGATAACACATTGTTTAGTATAAGATAAAAAGGACTTCGCAAATTTCAATGGAGGACCGCTTATACCAACAGGACACTCGCCGAACTCTATACGACACCCTACAAGAATAAAATAACTGTTTGCATGGAGGATTTCCCAATTCGAAAAGCGAACTGGTTATCCAATAGTATTTGATTGTTTTCGAGATACAGGAAAAGACGTGGCAAATATGCGTACACAAACAATTTCGAAAAAACTATGGTGACTGTAACTGATCTGTAATGGTTAATATTTGTCTTACTGCCTTTTTTATGTAACGCAATAATCTTTCCAATTTCTTGATTTGAAGGAAATTTTCATACTCAAAAGGATAAATAAGGAATAAGGAGCCTTACTGAAAAAATCATTGAACGTGTGTGATATAACCCGAGGATCTTCAATTTTTTTATTATTGCGCTCAAATTCAATAATATAGAATTTTCTCTTTCTAAAACAAATTTTTTGATCAAAAGCGGAACATAGAAACTAGATAAGTCGTTGAAAGTGTCCTCCATCTTGAAGGATACACGCTTCGGCAATTTTCCTCATGTCACCTCGTATTCTTTGAAGTATACCTCCAGAGTTTCTTATTAAGTCGCAGAAAGCTGTTATACGATCCTTTAGCTCTTCGACAGTGTTAACTGGGGAGCGATAAAAGTCTAAAGTATTTCATTCTGGGGACCTAGGGGACCATGGATGTATGTCAAAGGTTATTAAATATCTGATATTCTCTTGCGTAATTTTGTCCAAAAACCGTTCAAGAAATTAAATTTCTTTAGAAATGATTGAAGATTGTGAGAATCATTTTACGAGATATCAGTGGTGCACCATCAGAGTCTACCAAAGTAAATATCCGAAATTCCGTACGTCCGACACTGGGGTATTGGTATATAGAAAAAATTATGACACTAAATAACGCCTCTTGATTAATCAAAATATCAGCAGTATTACAGATATCTTGAAAGTTGAGGACATATGTTCATATGTTCAAAAATCTACATTCCATTAGAAAGCACCCTGCAGAGGGTTGAATTTAAGATTCGTATGAATCTTTTTAAAAATGAAATTATAAATCGGGACTTTCAGGATTGCCATTGACACTCCCTTACGTAAAAACAAAGTCGAAGTAACTATATTAATTAACCGAAACTCTATGGGAGATTGCGGGGGAAAATTATCTTCCAGCGCCTAAAGTTGGGCACAATTTCGATGTAGTTCGAGTTTATGTCGACGAAGGAGGGCCCCCCAAAAACCCCTCGACCCCCGACACGCGTGGAACCGATGCCTCCGCGACATCCAGCCTACGTTTCCAGGTTCATCCCTTCGATCCGTCTAATGGGATAATTTACATTCGCAACAGCGGGATAAGATATGTATATACGTGTGCGGAGATTGAATTTGCCTCAGGTAACGAGCCGATTGAAACTCGGGAAGGTCGTTAATTTTTAAAAGCGATAATTATTTTACTATACAGTGTACTTGTGTTGCTTTTAAAAGTAAAGCACAAAAATAGAGTATCCAATCAACGAAATCAAATTTGTTTTAAATTCCATCTTGTTTGTAAAAATATACATAATACATACCTAAAGCCCATAACGTTTTTCGAAGATTAAGTGAGAAATATACGCTGCCGAATTTTAATAATTTACCACAGGGTGTTCCAAATAAGCGATAAGTAATTAATTCGTTTTAAATTAAAAAAATCGATTTGCTCAAATGGCACACCACGTATATTATTATTTTTACATATTAAAATTTTTATATACCTTTATAAACCTGGGGATTATTTTGAATTTATAGTAGAATTTCCGTTTTCCATATTCAATACTGCAACTAGCATCAAACCGTTCCAGAAGGGATTTCCTACAGAACAAAAGGTAAATGAATTGGTTTGGGTTAGGTTAGGTTAGGTTTAATAAAAAAATAAAAAATTGCATCCACCCGGAATACTTAAAGATAATTTTAAATGGTGCATCGTAACAATTCGTTTTCCAGTTCAGTTTTGGAGAAAAAAAAATTGGCTATTAATTTGTCGTTAATAACAATTTATACCTTTGTATTATAGGTATTTAAAATAAAAACGTTGCTATTTAACTGATGATTTTTTAATGCGAACGAAAATTTGCTAATTCGATGTGACTGAAATTATCGAAAAAAAACTTTTTCATCTTAGCACCAATTTTTTCTCCTACCGTGTATGCCATATGAGTTGCAAATATTTGAAGAACATATGATTGGCGAACGCCAACTTTTGTCGATATTAGTATTTTGGTTTTGCAGTTGGTAAAAAAAAAAACATATGGCCACGCTGTATCTACAGCGAAATAAAGTACTTCGCGAAATAATTAAGAAGCATCGCTCAGAACTAGGACAAGTCGAGAGCCTTCCAATTATTTCGAGAGCCGTATCGACTATCTCGACCTTCAGAGAACTTCAGTTAAACCACTAACGATTTTAATTGAAACACCAACCCAAACTCGCTTTGAAATTGACATCGTATAAAAAACGACACTCTTAACGCTACCGCCAAAGGAAGACCAAAAAACGATTAACTATAGAAACGAAAATTGGATAAATGTAAAAAAGAATATATTTGTACAATTATACAATAAACATTTCTGCTGGGATTCCGATGTTGAGGAGGAAACTGAAAGAGAAAAATAACCAAGACTCCTTCAAACGCAAAGCGACGACTATAGAGGGAAATGCAAAGGAATAAATAGAGAGGTCAAACAAGAAGTAGTAAAGAAAAAGAACAGAACAGGTTTAGTCTGTCTCAATACTTACCGTGTTGCCTTTCGTATGAAATTTTAATCAGTAGAGGATTTATTCAACAAGAAGCTTTAAAAGAAACCAGTCTTCTTACGAAGTGGCAATAGTGTTTAAGAGCTAATAAGAAGGAAAACATATTGTCCTCGGATAAAGAGAAAAAGAAGATGAACTCGGCCGTGCCACTCTCCATAAAGTTGTTTGCAACATGGAATTTAAGTACCGCGAAATAGACAAACTTAATTATCTTCAAGAAATTAAAAGATATAGATTAGACAACAGATCCATAATTGGGTTGATGCCACTCAAAACTGTCACTCGCTGCGTGAGAAGACGGATTTGTCCCAAACTGCTTGCTGTTGTCTGCAGAAAATTTTAAGAATTCCGGGTTAAATTATCATTTTGAAAATTGATTTCGAAACAATCTCTTTAAAAATATTCCCAATGACAGTTACTACTGCTGTCTGCTATGCAAAACACCAGCTTCATCAAGACTTAAATCTAAAAGTCTTAAATAGTATGAATGTGATAATTTGGCTGAAGAGGCTGGACATACTATTAAAACTGTTAAGAACGCAATTGATAACATACCAATTGGAAGCTGAAAAAATTCAGTACAGCACATTATAAAAATTGAGGACTCTTACATTTCTACAAAAAATGACATAAATCCTATTATATTTAATCGCTGATAGTGAAACCCAGAAGCAGAAAGAACCCAGACGATTTTTAAATAGTCCCGTTTCGTAGATCCGAGATTCTACCGTCGTTAGTTTGGGTGATTTATTTTTTTTTAAATACGGATCCAGGAAATGTTTCCTCTAATTCCGAACGAGGATATTTACAAATATTCATTTAAGCTGTCAAGAATGCAGCAGATTCGTAAACGGTATTACGGTGGCCCGTGGAATTTTATATTTGCCAGATGAAATTCACAACGGCTAATAAAAATAAATCTACGACTGATCCAAGCGGAAATAATGCGATTCCTTTAAAATCCCTTTGGCGAACGCGATAGAGATACTAAAATATTTAAAAAATGGATCATTCACGAAGCAGTTTCCCTGAAAAATTGGGGATATAGGCTGTTGTCCACGTCGTTCGAAAACCAATCTTCTTGAATAAAGAAAAAGTAATCGCGAGAAGGTTAGCCCTAAACACACACACGCTCGTCACCTTTGGTCTGAAAATCCGGGAATTTTAAT